TCATTTATAAGTTGGAAAACGAATACGAGCGATTAACTTGGTAAGCAAACCATTTTATTTAAAGGTAAAGTTAAGAGATCTCTGTTTGTGAAATGAAAAGCACGTCTAAAAGTTAACAAATTAAATTGTACCGTACCGTACTGTACTGTACTGTAATCTAAGTCTGACTGGCAAACTAATCCTCCAGCTTTCTCCAGAATATGTTAGCATATGGACAAATTTATAAGATGAATGCTTTATTGTCTTCGTCAACTTTACGAAATTAAATCACTAAATATCTACACATGTTGAGATTCAATATTGTATAGTGTAATATATAATAATACATTATATTATATAGTGTACTTATTTTTTTGGGCCATAACAAGATTGTATGGAAGAATCCATGTTGTTTCCACATGAATATTAGAGAAATGTCAGTTTTCCATGTTGAATAGTTGGAACATTTTTTTCTTGTACTGTAAAAATTATTTAAATAATTGTTTAGTGTGAATTTCTCCTGTGGAAATGAAATCTGACATATTTGTACATGGTTATTTATATGTATGACGAAACACATACCTGGTCAGTCATTGAGGTGAAACAGCTTCGCACATGTGACACCAGATATTCTGATATTTTGCCATTTAACTGTACAGATTAGAGTTGTGAAGAAGTCCCTCGCAGGGTGTTTTTCCTCTCAGATGTACCATTGTGTGTTTGTCACTCAGGCCCTCTGTTTTGGACAACTTCGCTCTTCTATCTGGTCAGCTCAACACGATCAATAAACTGCTCAAAAATGAGACGCCATCCTTTCGCACCCAGATTATAATACCATTGCATCTGTCTCCAGACCGTGATGAGGATTTAGCAGTGAGTATCAGAGCTGCTGACTTGACTCTGGACATGTCTGCATCTTAAAAGCATGTGTAAGCAGTCTCCCTGACTTGTCTGTTTACCATCGCTGCTGCTTTTCCCCACAGAAACTAACAGAGCAGCGGGTCCCAGTCTTCAGCCACGAGATTGTACCAGATTACTTGCGGACCAAGCCTGATCCAGAAGTGGAGGAGCAGGAGAAGCAGCTGAGTGCGGAGGCAGCACGAATTGGCCCAGAGGTGGCCCAGGTCAGTTAGTTGTTGATCGAAGCAGTTTGGCTGTGGAAAAAAAAATGCTACCAGCCGTACAGTGTTTCACGTAGTTAAGCACCTTGTGTATATTTTTGTCCACAGAAACAGATCCAGACATTAAATAAGCTGTGTTCCAGTCTACTGGACAAGCTGAAAAATCCTCGTGATGACAGAGAAGCTGAAAGTGCAGGTGTGCTTTTTTGCACCATCACTGTATGAGGGTGTTGCCACTTCATTTCTAAATGCATATATGCCAGCATTTTTGAATCTTCTAATTTTTTCAGCAATGAGACAGAACAAACCGTCTTTCAACCCCGCTGACACCAGCGCACTAGTCGGAGCGGTTGCATTTGGAAAGGGGCTTTCCAAATGTCGGCCTCCAGGTCCAGTGGCCCCTGGACACCCAGCACAAGGGCCCATGTTGAGTGGAGGTCCTACCTTACAGCAAGTCACCATTGGTGCTGGCTCAGGCCAGCAGGCAGGGATGGGAGGACCTGTGGCTCCACAGCAGCAAGGACAGCCAGGTAGGGCAGCTGGGTTTCACCTGGCCGCTCTGAGTGCCTACTTTGCACGGCATTACACTGCAGCCAAACAGCATCTACGGTAGCACTGATAAATATGGCAAAGCATGTGAAATACACATCTGTCACAGTGTCTATGACAAGGACACATACAGGAAGATGATAAAGGAATGAATTCATTATTTTGTGCGTTTCAGCACTAAAACACAGCTCCTCTGGAGAAGCACCTGTAACAGGTATTGGATTTGGTACTTAACTGGTATTTAATTACTGTAAATACTGGGAAAAGACATAAGACTTCTGTTAACAAGTGGAACATAAAGATTTGTGTTGTGAATGTCATTGTGACAACATTTAAATCGCTCAGTTTTAGGAATTAAAAATATGAAGGTCAGGAAATAAATTCTGTTCTGGTTATGCAGTATTTAAGATTTTATCACACGCATTTAAGCAACAGTTATTTATGACTGCAGTAGGGATGGGCAATGATTTAAATAGTCATTAAATTTAAGATAATTGAATATTTCATGCCACTATGGGTTTGTCTTTAAAAACAAAGAGCCACTGTTTTCCCTTGCTTTTACTGGCGCCTGGGAATAACGCAGTACTATAATTTACAAATGCAAACAGCAAAGACATGCAGCGGACGACAGCCATCAAAAAGTCGTGGAACTTCTTCAAGAAAATAAAAATGAGGTGCAGTGCAAACTCTGCCTGGTTAAATTAGCATATCGTAAATCTACAACAACTATGCAGAGCCATTTGAAGGGAGGACATTCAGCAGAAAGTTCACCAGTCAATGACAAGCTTTGTCACCCAAAGAAGTAAGTTTGATGATTGACGTGTAGAGCAAACAACGGCCCTCATCACAAGGATAATAGCAAAGGACATTAGCTTTGTCGAGGGGGAGGGTTTTTGAAGCTTGATAGTTTTCATGGCACAACTGGATAAACTGTATGGTGATAAGGCCTGTGAGCCGTGCAGTCATTTGACAAGTGTAAAAAGGTGTCTCTGACCCCGGATGCATGGACAGCGCTTATAACTGAATCTATGTGACAGTTACCTGCCGTTATATAAGCAACTGGAAAACACATTCAGTCTAAAGCAGTGCTGGAGCGGCATACTGCTGCAAACCTGGCCAATGTGCTTTCCACTGCGGCTGAACACTGGGGACTTACAGGTAAAGTCATAACATGCACACATGACAACACCAGCAATATGGGGCTTATATGGGTGGGGGGTGTCGATCTTAGTCGAATAGTTCCTAGCAAGTATTTAATAGCATTGTAGCTTGAACTGTCCATCCCTAGACTGCATATGTGGTGATCCTGCTGGAAAGTGACTCAACCTCAGCTTTTGCTGTCCCTCTTGTCCTCTGTCCAGACAGTGCACCGATTGCAATTTACTGGGCCTGTTCTGTTTTTAAGTCTGACCTGTCTACTCCAATTTTGGCCGATTTCAATTTTCTTTCTTTCTAAGAACTGTAATTGACAGTATTGGCCAATCACAGTGAAAACCAGCTTTTCAGATCTCTGCCAATCGATCGGTACATCTCTAATCTATTCTCACACTAGCTGAATGTTTCAAGGGAACAGTTAAGTAACGTGTGTGCACAAAAATGATCCTTGATGTGCTGAGGTTTGTAGATTCCTGAGTAGACATGTACAATCAGCGTAACCTTGTGAAACAGCCTCTTCTGTTTTCATAATATATGTTTCTAATGACGCCACTTTCAACTCTACAGCTCTTTTAAGTTTAGTCATTATTGTATATTTAGCTGTTGCTGCAAATACACAACTTTTAGTAGTTTACCGTTTCCCTAAACAGTTTGGAGAGGAGTCTGTTTGTAATTACTGACTTTTATTCTTCCTCTCCTATTGTTGCTTCTCAGGAAAAATGCCGAGCAGCATCAAGACAAACATCAAATCTGCGTCTGCTTCAATGCATCCCTACAGCCGATGAGCTCCATCCCTTTTACTGAATGAACATTACACTGTGTGTCACCTTTGTGTGTGGTTACTTTCATGGAATGGGTTCATTTTATAAGAAGCTGTCTTTCTGTTCTCTCTGAAGCCACTTCTGTGGCATATAGTATGCTCTGAAAAGCGTCTCAAACATAACATTCTGATATTTGTGACTGTCTTGGAGCCTTATTTTGATATATCTGAGCTGCAGTGTTTGGGCCACTAGATGGCAGTATGCTATAAAGGATAGCAGCAGCTTGTATTTGGGGCTGTACTTGGACACTTTTTCAAACTAAGATGTACCTGCTCGTACATAGTCTGTACATGAATAAAATGGAACATTTTTAAATATAATTTGGGCCTTTCGACATTCTAAACAGTTAAAGTGGTTTGCCAGTTTTTTTTAGTAACACTACATCCAAGTTGGAACTGAACAGCCATGGTGTTTGTCCCGATGTGGACAAAATGGCCATCCCAACATTTAAGACGTGTGCTATGATCTGATCTCTGTTCAGTAGTACTGCCAGTTTCTTCTTCTCCAGCTTCTCTTTGCCCATTTCACCAATGGTGAGTATAATGAGGGTGGACATTGCTCTGTGTGGCCTGATAATGTCAAAGTGTTTAAGCGGGGAAACGAGAAAGTATCGGTGCTGACGTGTGAGGGGGGCCTCTCTCCACGTCGGCTCCCTCTGTCCACTCCAATCCCTGTCCTGCTGCACAGTGCAGTGATCATGCTGATGTCACAGCATGCAGGCCCATGGCTGACCTACATACACCCTCTGTCCCCAAACAGGCAGACGTCTCGCTGTGTCAGCCGCCATTGTTTGGCACGCTGCTGAGACAGCTCGAAGCTGCACGAGGTCACACTTGTCTGCAGTTGAGGTCTAAATTGTAAACAGAGCTAACAGGCAACATCCTGCTAATCAGAGAGGTTGATCAGAAGTTACCACCAAACCTACCCATACCAAGACCCATAGTTAAATAAGTGGTTTTGGCCTGTTTGCTACAAATGACATTGTAAGTTTTACGTCAGTGGAGACCATTTTTCAGAATGCTTAAGGGCTTAGATTTTGTAGATGAGGTTCCTGTTTTTCCTGCTTTACAGATGGGCACTGAAGTTTAAAGTTACACGATCCATCATTACTGACCATATCTTTGTTTTCTGTGTGTGGAAATTGCAAAGTGTGCACAGCTGCACCCCACGCTACAGTATTTCAACTTTGGTATAAAGCAGGTATGATGCTCGCTTTGATTTCAAGCAGGTTACAGTGTATTCAGATGAGTGGGAACTAGTAGCTGGATGATATGTAGGAAATCACATACCACAAAAAGTAGACATAGGAAAAATAATTGTTTATTTTGGGAAATGGCCAGCAGTATTGTGAAGCACAGGACTCTTAGTAAGTAGTCTAAAATAAGATAAAGCACTATTATGTTTAGTGATTCATTCCAGTGAAGTTGATGTTACTCAAATTTTATTGCAGGTCTTTTGTTGCATGTTCTACTGATATTTTGCAAATGACAATGACATGAGGATGAAAACACAGTATTTAATAGTAGTGATAAAAACAGTTATTTTATTCTTGCAGTTTTGCACGTTAACAGTAAAGGGGTTTGGTGGTAAAGCACCAATAATGTACTCTTTACTGAAAATGTGTGTATGAGAAAGTGTAAATGAAGCAATACAGATCACATTTGGCCTCATAAGGGCCAGAAGTGAACATGCACTTGTGCATATTGCATGTTTTTTAAGAATCTAACTCTGCTATGTTTGTTGTAGTAGTGTGGCAGCTGTAGATTTGTGATTTAAAATTATATATATATATATATATGTATATATAAAAGCTAAATTTGGTCTTTACCACCAACCATGGCACCTGCCATTTGTAGTATCTGTAAACTGTTTGTTTTGTGAACAGTTAATTAGTCTTCTTATATTTATTTATCTATTTAACTTAACCTTGGGTTTGGTAAAAGGCTTGGCAATAAGTTTTTTTAAAACTTCATTTTCTCATCTTGATCAGTGTTAAACTCTGACATGAAAACTGTCATGGACCTCATGATTATAAACTAAAATTGTTAATAGACATACATTAAAATCACTGTGTCTTGTTTATGAGCAAGCTGTTGCTGAATGTGCTCTGCATGTTGTTTTTGTGTTCTGATATGTTCCCCGTCTCCCATGATAAATATTCACATCATGGTCGATAAGGAAAACACTGATTTTCTTAACATGCTGTCTGTAAAACCTGTAAGAGCCATAGATGCAGGCAGTGATTTACAGTAAATTGCACTTTCTAGAGAGGCACATGTATAGGAATGTTGCACAATCACATCCCTGACACTGCTGTCAGCAGCAGTTTAGCCCTGTGACAGTAATGTCTCTTCTGTATTATGCAATTAGAATGCTAATTTCCTTCTCTTTATAGCGTGTTGCATCTGGAGCTGAATACATCCATTCGTGCTGACAGGCCCAGATGTAACGTCCAAAATATTCAACAGAAAATATATTTGGTCAAAAACTGCAGTGAGGACCGCAGTCGGATTTGTAGACATTCTCACCTTATCAAAGAAATGATCATACTATAGAGTACAGTATGTGTTAAGAGGAAACAAAGAGAAAACTTTAGAAACATTACAGTTTACCCACTTTCTCCTGTTACCTACCTTCACCTAAAACAAAAGGCTTCTAACATCTTTGTGAGGTTTTTTTTTTTTTACAGCACATAAATAAAACACTAGTTAAATCTTAAACCAGAATGGAGTGCAAAGTTACCATTAGAGCTACTGAAACTGACACGTCTCTGACTCCTATGATTTTGTTGTTAAACTGCTTTTAAATCATGTATTTACACTGATTTGTGAATTTTCATTTAATAAATCATAATAGTACATTTATCATTTATATTTTTGTTGATTATATATTTATTTATTCTTATAGTAGTTTATTAGTTTATTTAGTACTAAATACTGTGTTTTCTGCACCATAAAGTGCAGTATCTAAATGTGTTTTGTAGGTTTTGAGTGCAGACTTTGACACCTTAGGTCACACAGACCATGAGGGGTCAGCAGTGTTTCACTGTTGAGAGGCACTACAGTATTTCTCAAGCCGCCGTCTGACTATTCATTTGGATTCATAAACAAAGGTTGTGTGTGAGGTAGAGAGATGTCACATCCAGTGCTTTCAGACTGCCTGAGACTCACTGTACACAGTGGGTGGTGGGAAGAATCAATACGACAGCTGCCTCCTGAATTACGATATACAGTATAGGGACGCAGAGCAGGGGTAACTGGCCAGTTCCAACCAGACATAAATCCATCCTGACAGCCTAATCAGCATTAAAGCCAGCATTTCCCTGTAAATGACACACTGCAGTGACCAAGTATGTCATGCACAGAAGTGCACTGAAAACAGACAGAAACCCAAAACAGTTTTTCTCACAGAATCAACATAAATGATCCCACTTTTGTTGCTGGATTTGAGTAGAGATAATTATTGCAGCAGCACTGGATCTGAATGTCCTTGATCATCAGTGCAAAAAACGGTTTTGTTTCATATTTGATTCATGTTTTGGAGCGATAACTTTCTCATTTCTTTAATAAGAGCATCTCCTGGCACACTTTAAAAGGTTTTTTCCCTATAATTGAAGCGCATGATAAGGTCCATATCTTGCTTATTATGAAAGCTTTAGGCAAATATAAAGAAATACTTTACAGACTTAAACTCCCACACCCCAAGCGCTTCAGTATATTGCAGCTTCTAATTCAAATATTCCACGGTTGAAATAACTTGAAAGGCTAAGATGACGCACACTGATCTGTGAAATCTTTTCCAAATGTCTTCTTTATGAAAGTTGGGATCAGAGGAATTCATTAAAGATCTGTGGGTGGCATAGGCAATATGAGACTCAGGCTTTCCAGCAGCATGTCTTTGCCAACCTGAACTGCTTCCAAATCTGAAATCTGCAACGCTGCCTGGAACACACCCACAGTCGCTAATTACTTGACCCTATTCCTGCAGAACTGTTTTGTCTACAGAGTTACACTTTTTGTCAGCAGAGTGATTCGTGTGAGATGAGTGAAGGAGAAGACTTGCTTCATCATATGAATGCAGAGGGTTTTCTTGAGACAAAGCCTCTCCATTATGTCATGCCCGCAGACCTCAGACCTTGTATTGTCTGCTTCAGTAGCCCTCCCCTCAGGTGCATGTGTGTAGCTTTGGTATCGGTGTGTGTGCATCATGCTGGCGGGCACAGACATAACTGATACACATAATACATTGTGAATAAGGCCAGTCTTTTAATGAGCCTTGTTACTGTCATTGATATAATGCGAGCCCTGAGCCTGAGTGCATGTGCCACGTGCACTGTGGACTGGTTGAGGGTGATTGATATGAAGCTCTAAAAATCAGAAGGCTTACATGTACTAATGTCTTACGCATTACTGTCCTCTGCTTTGATTGTTTTTGCCGATGCTAATTTTTTTTTTACCTCTTGGCAAAATAGCTTTAAAGCATTTTACAAATCTAAAATACAGACCAAAATAATTCAGAAAAATTCAAAACTTTTTGTGCCTATTTGAGGCACACTGATGTTTTGAAACAGAAACGATTTAACAAGTTTAAAAGTGTCCTGTAAGTCCGAGCGTTGACTCACTACTGGGTCCCATGGCAGAACCTCTCTTGAATGTGCAAGCATATGGTCACCCTCTTCAGTGAATGTCTTTAGCCAAAGATGGGGCATTCCATCCAATACTTTTTACTTATGACCACAATGATCATGTTGGTGCTAGAGAAAAACAGGGGATCCCTAAAATGATCAGAAAGCATTGTGTGGGAGCCATGAATGTCTGTACACAATTGTGTACCACATCTTTGTAGCAGATTTTTTTTTGGATAAGTGACCAAATGGTTGGCTAGATAAAAATCAAGCCAGGTCCAAAGTATTTGGAATTCACCTTCTGGGCACCTTATTTTATTTTTACCAAATTTCATGGGATTCCATCCAGTACGTGTGTAGATGTTCCACTATAAAAATAAAATGTGAACCTCATGGTGGTGTTAGAGAAGCCAGAGGATCACCCCTGGGGACCACATCATAATTCCTCTGGGCTCTCAGAGGTGTGGGGCACTAACAGACCTGTGAAGTTAAGCCCCCAGTTGGAGCGGTGGCTTTTGAAAAAACCAAAGCCCCATTTGAAATCACAGTCAACAGGGCAAAAATGTAAAAATGTAGTTTTCGTTTTAAGGTTCCACTATATATTTACAGTACATTTGATTTCCTTACAGTGTTGATCTAAATATTGTTCTGTGCACCATGTATGTCCAACATGCTACTGCACCCAATTTTTAAAAATGTCTTATTATTATTATTAATTTTTGGCAAACCATTTTAGCATCAGATTCAACCTAAAAACCTGTAACCTGTATAAACTCTTTCCATGTCATTAAATATTACTGAGGGCATAGCCTGGGTGTTGGCAGCTGACTGACAGGAGTCCTTTTTCTCCGCTGTCAGAGCAGGAAAAGCACAGGTGTTACTAATAACATTAACAGTTCTGTTTAAGTGTCCCTGTAAGCCCCGGCACTGTGACAGTGAGCCAGCTCCAACAATACCAGGACCCTGAAACTGAAGCGGCTGAATAGAATCCGTCATTTGTAATTTCAGTATTTTGTAAACCTGAGCTTCTCCTGCTATGTCATGTCAGAACATATTTGTGAAAAAAGGCCTAAGACCAAAATTTTCTTTTTCATGTTGGTAAAACAAGCAAAGCTTGTTTACGTAAGAGGCTAATGGGGCAACATGTGCAACCCAGATATTCCATTTGAGATACTGCATTAGATTTTTCATTTAACCCAGTCTGCGTTGAAAAGGTTTTTTTGACATCCAGGCTACTTGACTGTTGTTTAAACAGCACTCCAGTGACATCATTTCAATATGAAGGAGGTGCTAATTATCTGTGAAAACAGGCTCATTTTTACTTACAAACCATCAAATCGTCTCTTTTTTGTGAGCGGATCTAAACATTAACACCTACCAAGTGACTCTTATTCAAAAACAACATATGGCAGTTGCATTTTAAGGTGAAAGATTTTTAATAAAATGTCAGAAAAAGATAATATTATTTTTCTTATTTCATAGGTGTCTGCTAATGGGTAGCACACACCTAAAAACTTCTCATTTTGTTCCTGATTGGATTTACATCTCTTCCTCCTTGTTGATCACTGTGGTTTTCTTAACCTACATTTGTCACAGTGCGGCATGAGATCCAGTCTACTGTATGTGTTAGAGGAATCAGACATTCAAACGAAGATACACTGATTTTTATTCAGCGGGATTTACACCTTTTTATGTAATGACTGAATCACCCTCACATGTGGTTTAGCATATACACCCGTCCAGCACTTCTTGCCTTTCATTCATCCAGCAGTGGCCAAAAGAGGCCCTTTGATAGAAACAAGGAGGCTTCTCCATGTAATTACATGTGATCATGTTTGCATATATCACTCCCACAGTCTTTGTCACGCTCTCTGATTTTGGACGCTCCTGGGAACCTTTTTTTAATCCACAAGTTAATGTTTCAACCTCTTCCTCGTCTTTGTTTTTTTTTGTCCTGTGGAGGGATGTATTGGAAGAACAGAATCAGACATCCTGTCTGGTTTATCTGCAGGAGAGAGATAAGTGTGGATTCCGCCTCTTTTAGGGAACACACTTTAACTGTGCCTGGGAGGAAACGCTGGGTGTGGGGAAGGGCGGTGGGGTAGAGGAGGCGTCTGTCTGCCGCAAGCACACAGCTTTCACTCACTTCGAAAACTGTGAAAATGTCCCCTTCACACCCTCGGCAGCTCAGCCGAGCTCTGGTGCTATGTTAGTGGCGATAAAATGCCTGCATGCTGTAGCATAGTTGGACGTGAGAGGTGCATGTTATCCAGAGGTGTTGGACTGACAAGTCTGCAACATGTAGACTTGTATCCTGAAGTGACTCCTGACCCTGACCCTGTTACAAAGGTCTGGAGGAGAAACCACACAAGTCTGTGGTGGAAAACCTAGAATATGATCATGAAAAAAGACAAAAATGCAATTTATTCAACAAAAGAAACTATTTATTTGGGATATGCAGTGGAAGTACAAATTAAGACCATAAAACCTACACCTTTTTAGCTATTTTTCCTCCACAGAAAACAGGTTTTAAATTGGAATTAAAAATACAATAGTTTTCCATTTGATACCTTTTTACATATGCAGAGATCTTAAAGTTAAAACCTAAAGTTAAAAAGGCTCCACGATTTCACTCTGAAATCCCTATAAAAAAGAAGTTAACATTCAAAACACTGCAGTACGTTATTTTATTGAAGAACAAAAAGACATGCAACAAATAAAACATTTTATGTTTTACAAATTGTTCATTTTTCTCTCATGTCTCTTTTCCTTTTATATTCAAAAACTAAAAAGCATCATTACATGAAGCTTCGATAATATCTGACAGGCAATGTGAAAAGAAGAGTCACCCCCCCCTTTTTTTTTTGAAGGGTTCAAAAACAGTCCTTGTGTTTGCATCGCGTGGCCAGTGCTGTCAGTTCACTCCATTGACTTCAAGAAGACATGACTGAAACGGGATCTGTGTATCACCTAGGTGGTGCTCGGCCCCGCGACTGTGGGGCGAGGGGGAGCTACTCTGAATGATCCAAGTGAGTTTGTTTGGCATGATCACACTGTGGTTGACCTCCACACCGTAGCTCGGAAACATCCATGATTTCATATGTGTGTAATAAATACAAACACACTGACAGCTGTTGAAAAATACACGTGGCTATTAGGCTATTTTGTGACTGATTAGGAACTCTGGGTTGAATTTTGTTTTCTGCAAGGGTTCGGTTAAGCTAAAACAATGCCAGAGGGCAGTGTTAACGCTAACTATGTCACCTTCACTTGGACAGTAACTATTTTGGAGGCGGGCTTATGTCGGTGGTCTGACCATAAAATAATTTTCACCATTTCAACTTAAATCCACCTGGAACTCTGTCAAGCTGGGTCAAAATAGCTACTGTCCAAATTCAAAGTCGTAAAAGAAGAGTAAAGGTGCATACCTACATATTGTATATAGAGGGTTCTTGTGTTAATTCACAAAATGGTAGCGCTAAAAAAAAGACAGTCCTGTCGCAAAGCAAATTTATATGAAAACAAAAGCAAATAATTATGAAATAGTCACAAAATGGAGACGTAAAAATATATCCCAACATCATCTGGATTTGTGTGCCATCAGGGTATTTGTTTCAGTTTAATTTATATAAACACTACTGTTATTCCAACTGCTTTTTGGCTTTGAATACAGAGTACTAGAGCATTATGAGGTGCTCAGTAGTACCGCAGATAATAAAATACTACGAAAGCAAAATGTTGATAAAGCTGATCCCAAAGTAGAGGATAAAAATTCCGCCATGTTTTTTGGTATCAAAGTGTGGAAATGCTGATATCTCATGAGGACTACTGTAATCATGTATACATGTTAGATCACATACTGTACTGTACATACAACAAAGGTCACACATCTGGTTTCACATTTTGGATCGGTTTGTGTTGATGAATGTGACGTTTAGAACAAAACAAAAAGTGAAGAGATTCACGGAGACTAAAATATAAACACTGTTCTACTTCAGACATTCTCTCTAATGTTACCAGAGAACAGGTGCTACGAGATGAGTTGTTCAGCACTAGATACAGATGGAGATACAGTATATCTGTGCCTCCGTCCTGAGCACACAGTGGGGCATTTTAGACACAGAAGATGATTTTTTGCATGCACCTGAAGTACATTTTGTAGAGGAATTGTTATTGCGATGTCCGATCGCATTCAGGATTAAGACAAACATAATTCCTTAAACAAAAAATGAGCATGAATTCAAACACATGCAATAAGTTAAATCCCAATGACAAGATGCCTTAAAACCAGACTGACAGTTTTTGTTTTACATTTGGTTAGCTGCAGTATTTGGCTCCATTGGTCTGTCTGATAATGTACTGATTTACTGATTGTACACTCTCTAGCTTTCACATACGACTACAGTAAAATCTTTAAATTTCCTCTGTCGTCTTGTCTTCAACATTTACAAAGTTACCCCTTGAGTTCGATCATTAGATGTTATTGTGCTTTAATATATACTGACATGCCATAATTGCCACTAATGCTGTCATCGATATAGTGTTTCAGGTCACTTTTTCTATGAATCTGCTTTGCAGCCACAAATCTTCAAGTTGTACTTAATTTGTTAATTGCTTGCATAAAAAGTTCTGAATACAAACTTTATAAATTGAGGATGAATACTTGGATATTACCGGACTAAAATGACTGGACTAACATAATAATACCTCACAAAGTATGGCATGAAAAATGTAAGGACATGATATTATCAAAATTCACCCTCAGGGTTGAACTTTGGCACTATAGATAAACAACATAGTAGTGAACAGAGTAGTCATGACAGGGTATGGTGCAGTGTACAGTCAAATCCCAGTAATTATCAAAATTTGTAAAAGCAACGCATCTGACATGTTGTTTGCTCTGTTGTTATTTTGAATAGAGGTAGTGTGAAAGCATTTCAAATGACAGGATGTGGGGTCAATATACAACTAACTGTGCCTAATGTGTCAATATATAATGTACAATAAGAGAAATACAAAGAGGCAACATGGACATCAAGTGGAAACTGTACAAATTGTGAAGTGTAGATGTGAGTCCACTACGCAGGCTTCTAACGCTGTGCCGGTGGTCCAGATAGGAAACGTAACATTTTTGTCCGTAAATGTGAAAACATTGTCCAAGACACCAACTGTGTCCCGCTATGTGTTACGTTCAGTTCCAACCGGGTCAGAGAGTTAAGTTTTGGGAGATATAGTTGGAGGTGTAGTGTTGGAGGAAGGTAGGAGGCAGAGGACAAAGGAGTATGGGGGGTGGAGGATCAGTTGGAAGTGTCAGAGTGAACACTTCCGGGTCCTTCTGTGGGTGAAGTCACTGATGAGGGGGTTGGGGCATCCTGCCAGCCACCGTTTGCCTGAGAAAAGAATAGACAGAGAAACAACGGGGAGGGAATGAGTTTCGTATTCTCATATCACCATGTCAAACACAGTGAGGCCCACCAAATGGACGTCTTGTGGCCAGGACGGCGTATGAATGTGGGATGGAATTCTGGGATACCTGAGCTATCCAGCACACAGTGCACAGCCTTAAGCCAAATCACCTTGTGTGTTGGAGAAAATTCTGATCTAGCTCAAATAATTGATTTATGATTTGATTTATTTATTCTTTCAAGCATGTAAAGACAGTTGATATGTCAACACACATAATTTTACACATATCCAACAAATGCTAATCCAATATCAATTTGCTTATACCTAGTACATGCTTGAATGGAGTAGGAAGAAGTCAGACTTATCCAGTCCTACCCCATGACAACACATATCCTGAATGAGACTGACATAAAAACATTAATGTTTTCAGCCATGCAGAAATAGAGAGAATTACAGTCTCTACTCCATCATACATGTACACTATACACTCAAATTCAGACCATGAGAAAACACACAGAAGGAATGGTTTTGTCTTTCTAAAAAAAAGCCTATCATTTAAAATATGTATAATATGCAAATTGTATGAAAAGGTCTCTGAAACAAAACAAGTCCAATCAACATCACACGCACTACTTATGCTACTGACAGCTGGAATTAACATATAATAAGAGCCACAGCAACAGAGGCAAGCATGTTAAAGAGCATTTAGGATGTTAATAGTCAATTTCAAGCCATCAGCAAAACTGGAAATGGTCCCTGACAGCCTTTCATTTTAGAACCTGTTATTTCCAGCAACAGACAGTAGTCTATAACCAGAAGTGGAGGGGTCAGGCTGTAGAATATCTGACTTTGGTGACACTATCTGTTTCTGAATTGGAATTACAACTGTAACCATCCACAGCATGAATAATGTACCTGCTTAGCCATTATACAGTGTTTTTTTTTATTTCAGATGTTTTCCTCTTATGCTTTCATTTGTTCCACTCTTCATTCATAAAAAATATGTCAGGGGGTACAGGAGGTGCCTGTATTAGCAGTAATTAACAGCAAATATGTACTGTAACACAGAATTTCTGTTCCTTGGGGTTGGGCTGACTACTAAAGCTGATGTACTGGTATTAAAACAAAACAAAACAAGAACCTTGTAAATGTATTGTCTCTATAGCTCTATAGTACAATCCATTTGGAAGTCTTTTGGGACCTAATACAGGCTGGACAAGGTTGCAAAGCCCTTTGAAATAGAGTGTAAGTTATACAAGATTAACAACTTTGACAGAAAATACCTCTACTTGCAAAAATATTTTATCAAACAAAACAGAAACACACATATTGTAATGAAAAAGGAAAGTGAAGAGCCAAACCTAGTGGCCTTAGATACATAAATCAAAGAGCATGGCAGAAAGATATCAGATGTCCTGCTCTTACATTATGCATTACAGGGCTTCTTTACATGGTATAAAAGTGAATAACACAGCATACTGCGGCAGTGTAAGATGTAGTAGAGCAAGGATTCACCCAAGGAGAACCATATCTGTGAGGTCAAAGGACTGAGAAAGAACAGGGCCTGAATACATTAGTGGCCTCTCAGGGTTAGCATGGCTGGCTGTGGGATGTGGTCGGAGCACCTGGGAAACCTATTTGAATACACATACATGTTTTTTATACAGGAGACATTTCATCTGATTATCATATAGCCACTAAGGCACGGCAGCGACAGTGGCAAACCCCAGCCACAGCTATGACCGTCCTCGTCCTCTCGGCGCGGCTTGCTGTCAGGGGCATTAGTGAGGCAGGAACATGATCTGAGCAATGTGCTTGGATTGCTGTCCCAAGTCCACACTCTGCTCTCCTTGTGTCTGTCTTATCAATTTTCCCCTTTATGACACGGCTTGTCGCTGTGAATTTCCCTACCATTCGCAGCCGCCAGCTAGCAACCCCCCTCCCCTCCACGACCCCCACTTCTATACCCGAACTCTGCAATGTACGACAAAGACGAGGGGAACATGGCCCTTTGGAGCATGACGAGCTGTTTTCAGGGGCATGAGGTTTTATTTTTAGCAGGACAGCAGCATTGTTTCCTGGAAGGCCTTAAAGGGAGCTTCTGGCTCCAGGGCAGCTAATCACAGGTCAGGTGGGCACAAGGATTTGAAGTCCAGTGCACAAGGTGTCACCTGTTTGTGCAGTTTGCTCATGGCCGACCATACGTGGCTGCAGGTGCCACGCCAGACTTGATCGAACATGACAAGCTCAGACAGTGGCTCTGCATGTGTGTGGCCGGCCCTGTGTGTGCCTGTGTATACCAGGCAGCATGCTGCCTGTGGCACAAGCGATACAGAACCAATCAACTAGGTGCTCGTGGATTGGAGACAAGTCCCACTAAGTGGCATTGTGAGCCCTATGGCTTTGAAATAATTGGTCGGGAGAGAAAGAAAAGAAAAAAGAATCCTTACATTGATGCCCTGCGGACTGTACATCTGGTTGGCTGTGAGTCCTTCACTGTATCCGCCTGTCTGGCTGATAACATGGCGAAGGGTATCCACCTGAAACATTCAGAGGCAACAAACAAAGCAAGGTCAGAGTCAACACAAGAGAAAAGAGAGAGGGTTGACAAGACAAGTGTATCCTTAGAGACAAGGTCCAATCAAACAAAAAGGAAACTGAGGATAAAAAACTTTTGCTTGTTGAAAGCTAAATAAAAACTACTGATATGTTGAACACATTGTGACAAATACTCTGCCCCTGACACTGTGAAGAAGCTCTACAGTGGGGCCAGTACAAGTCTGTGTAGTCTTCTTCACAGCAGACATTCTGACTTCATAGTAGAGAAAGCATAGTTATGATCGCTCTCTTCCATTTAGGCTACATTCACACATCACAGGCCTTAATACTCAAATCCAATGTTTTAGAGAAGTCCAGTTTTTTTTATGTTGGTAGTTCACATTTATGTTTGTAAGTGGCATGTGTCTGTCTCTGGGGTCAACACTGCTAAGGTCCTAAACTGCCAAGTACAGATTCAACTGAAATGTGAGCCATGTGCATAGTGGCATTTTTATGATAGTACCCTTTTAGTGGCCGCAACAGTACAAGCACTGCCGCTGACATGGGGCTAGCAGTTGTCCCAGGCCCTGGATCAAAAGCGGCGCCAGGGAGGAGAGAGAGGGAGACGGTGTTTAAGACAGTAATATTTTTCCATGTAAACTGATGTAAAATAGCCCATGTTCAGATGAATAAATGAGTTTATCAGTTTCCCATCCCTCTATGATTGGTGGAGTGGCTACAGTTAGTTGTAGTATATTTAGATTGTCTGTGTGGGAAATGAGAGTTCTTGCTGTGTGTAAAACCCCTATGCCAGGGGTTCTCAACCTTTTGCAACTTGAGGCCCACTTTGCTGTTAAAAATGTTAACTGGTAAAAAATTTCCAAAGAAACCAAATGAGGTCTAAATCTTGTTAATGCCAAGAAAAAACGAATAAATTCAGCATCACCAGGGTTGAGGGTTTATGGGACATTTGGCTTTAATTTGGCACGACCAAAACCACTGGCTCAAGAAAGAGGCAACAAATTTCATCTGTTTACTGAAATTTTGCCATTAATTTGACAATGATAAACTGCTGTTGAAAAATGCTACATGTAGCACTTTTAACTGAGATTGGAAAGCAGTTGTCTAATATTGTTAGCAGCCATGACCCCATTTGAGGTAAGGAATGAATCACAGTAGTAGCACTAATGCCTAGCTGTACAACCTCCATGGAAAGCACATGTTGAGAATTTCCAGTCAGGACGGGATGGCTTGGCACTACTATGTCCGGTTGGTTGGCCTTTGTCAGTTTGTATCTTGAAGTCCCACAGGATCTTAGCTTGGTCATTCTGAACCACCTTTGGAGGTGTATCCCATTTTGACTTTGGGACTTCTAGCTTGTACTTGGCTCGGTAGCTGGTTCATTTGTCCCGCTAGGCGCTCATGGAGTGAAGTTAGCTTCTTTAACCAGTAGGCGTGGATCATGTCAGGGCCTGGTGCTGTCCAGCTCTTCACCATCTTTGCACAGCCTGCACCTGGGGTCCTGTCTGGTATGGTAGACCCCGGCCTCTATTGATCTTGTACTTAGAGCTTGTTCTTGTACTGCCAGGATTAGTGCCTCTGTGCTGTCTTTCAGTCCAGCTTTGTCCAGCCACTGGTAGGATTTTTCGATATCAGCCACTTCTTCTAGTTGATGGTGGTACATACCGTGCAGTGGTTTGTCCTTCCATGAAGGTTCCTGCTCTTCCTTCCCTTGTTCCTCTGGTTTCTGCTGCCTGAGGTATTCATTAAGCTTGTTGTTTCATCCTGGATAGTGGCTCTGATGCTCACTAATCCTCGGCCTCCTTCCTTCTGCTTAGTGTACAGTCTCAGGATGCTGGACTTGGGGTGGAACCCAAGGAGTTTCCTTGTCTTGATGTCAGTGGCCTTTAACCAGTAGGCATGGATCATGTCAGGGTCTGGTGCTGTCCAGCTCTTCATACTTGAGACCCTCTTTTGAATGTCTGCCATTGTGATGATTACTGGGTCTTGTGCAGGGAGGTTGCTGTGGTCTGCTCTTAGGTCC